GAACATCAAGCCTCTTCGATAGACCAGTTCAATACAAGTGCAGTTGAGCACGAGTAGGAATACGCTGACTGCGGTTTTCAATGTTCTCTCAATGAGGATTTTGAGAAAATCGACACTAACCGACTTGGTTCATGCAACCATGCATGATCCACCAGATTAACCCCAGTCGGTGACGCCACAACTTTGACCACTTACAGTTGTTCACCAATTGGTTGAAACCTTTCTCACGTGGCCCAACTTTAACAAACCGCATCAGTCCAATCCTAATCATCTGATTTGTGATACCTTGAACGCATGTGACGATTGTTGCTCACCAATGACAGATTTTCTTTTCGGCATTCTGTAGCATCTAACTGAACGATTGTTCACGCGTTCTGGTGCACCACAGCTAGACCACATACATACGGATTACACTTTAGCCAACTGGTGGATAAACTACCTACTTCTTTTTCATCACTCAATTACATTATCAAAGCACAATGGTGATTAACAGAAAACCGACTGACTCTGAACAACTGTTTCGATCGCGTTGGCAGTCATCTGTATTGTCATATCTATCTTGTGCAAAAATCGCTTCAATATCTCCGTGCAGATGTCTACAATCAACGCAATACATCCAGTCACATGAATGTGCATTTTGTTTCGTTCCGGACAAAGTCAAAGAGTACAATCTGACCTAATCAGGGCTAGTTTTGTGAGAGACACCCTGCATACGCATAATCGTGAGCGAAATCGCCGTTTCGGGATAAAGACTTTTGGCACGAATTCTTACATCAGATACGAAGTTCAAATTTTAAAAAAACTTAGGGATCAACACAATTATGAAAATCAATTTACGGGTCAAGCATTTTGACGAGAATCATTTTCTACTCTGTGTTGATTGGTAGACGTGCTAGATAGATCGATGGACAGAGGGATCTCCGTTAACGTTTATACCAGATGGAAAGTACCGAATAGGGAATTGCAGGAACGTGCCTCTTCAATAACCTTCCAATCTTTCTATTCACGATAATGCCGCAACTTATTAATTTCACACTTTGACTCAGTTCATAACGAAATACCGATTGGGATAAGTTAATGTTTATCCTTCATTGACTAACATCTTCGATCGGTTTTGTCGGGCAAACATTTTCCTCTTTCTCTCCTTTGCTTTGAACATCTGCAACGAGTGTACAAGTCTAATATATTTTTTCACACACGACTGATTCCAAACCGTGTGCCAAACATATATAAATATATATATATATATAATGGTAGAATAATCTTTGTGAAAATGAAAGACGTTCCATGAGTTGCATGTAGGCAGAATGCTGCCAAGTTGCCAAGGCCGAGGCAGGTGAATGTTTTTGAGGAATCCACAACCGGAGCCTTCGGCTAACCAAAGTCTGACCCGCAAGGCAGCGAAGCAGTATGTGGGCCGATGTCCAGTTCATCGGATCAAACTCCGTTTGGACGGTGTCAAACGTCCAAGGTGCCCAATCGAGTCGGTGACCACAACCGGGAAGGTGTGTGTGGTTCGTACGCCTCCTCTTGGTTGATTTGGAATCAGGGTTTTTGACCAACTTCCGTAGGTAAACTACCAGTGGTTCACCAACCCGGTTATGGCTCCGGATATCAGCTTTTCGCCCTCTCACTTTGATGGGGAAACACCTCCGCCACGAGAAGTCAGTGCGTAGTTCTTCCTCAGCAAAGGCTATTTGAGACGCTTGGTCGTATGGGAGCGTTTCGCGAGGTGCAAGGGAGGGTGACCAGCCGCAACCCTAGACACCCATTTCCGACCATAATGAGGTCTAGGGTTACTGAGATCTGTATAGCTGTTTCACATCAACCTCATGATAATGTATTAATGTGTAGGCACGACGGAGAGAGAAGCACGTTAACTGAAAATCTCTAGTTCTGTTGCTCTATCCACAACGGCAAGTGATTATCATCACGATCATTATCAGTGAAACACAGAGAAGCGCACTTTTCTTATCGCTGTTAAGTTCTCGATGTATACCATCACTGAGATAGCACGAGTTGGATAGGGGTTGGATCTAATTGGAAGGAGGCGAAGAAAGTGAACACAGAGTACACAACGCTACTGTCCAATGACAACAAGCCAGTGCTGTTGCTTAGATGCCACATCCTTCAGTGTCTCCAACGCTCCAGTGACAGAGTCTTTCGAACCCCAACCTGGAAGATGGGAGATACCTATTCTACCCAATCACTCCGTACGTCTTTTTTTCATTCCTCGTCTCCACATCCTCTGCTGCCCTCCACGTCGTTTCCTCCAACTTGGAGTCGCAACTGCAAACGCGGCACGGTGCGGTAGACGGCAGCTGGGTAGGCACAACGACAAGCCAGAATAGTTGTTTGTGTAGTACTGAATCGGGCAGATAATCTTAGGAGCGGAACAGGCAGTAGCAGCAAAGAACATAAGAACCACCACATTGAAACACTCACCTTGACCAAGAAGATTGACCAGGTAGATAAATCCCGTACATCGTGGGTGCATGGTGTAGCTCACGAAAGGCAGATTATTTTTCCGCGCAAACTGATTGCTTCGGGCCAACGAGCTGGTGTTCAAATCCGTTCCCTCGGGAAAAATAAGTAACTGACGATAGAAGAG